CCTTCTGCGTTTGCGAAATTTTGGAGAATTTAAACGCTTTCTCTATAGGGGCGATGATTTGAGAAATTGAAGGTTTAGATGTCTTTGAAAAGTTGAAATTATATTTTAATACTTTTAACTGATCCTCCGAAAGATTCCTATTGGAGATATTAACGATGGAGTTAACGTTTACAGTGGGAAGATCAGCTAGATAATTGGGACTATCCGACTGGTGTGTGAGTTTTTGGAATTTAGAAATGAGCACATTTTTAAAATGTGCTCATTTCTAAATTCCAAATTTTCAAAAATCCGATTTTGATTGTCACATTAGCGTGTTTCTCTTCTAGTCTATAAGTACATACGTTGATTTAATTATTTTTTCATTTCTTGATTATTTAATTAGTTTCAAAGCAGGGTGCGCGATAATAATAATTAACATTAACAGTAACAGATAATAAATACTGTATTTTGAGGAAAAATAATTATGGTTTCCGTATTGTATTTACACTTGTCTTTTAAAGCTAGAAATATCTTAATTGCTACATCCAGCTTGAAAGTAATTCATTTAAAATTTTTAGTATAAATGGTTTTACGATATTTATGCAGCCTTGTAATGAAGTAAATTTAAACTAAATACCAAACTCAAATTAAATTTCTGTTCTGAATTTAATTTTTTATCTCATTTTCATTTTTTCTATCATCTTTATGTAATTCATTTTAATATTTGAATGCCTTTTACTCAAGATTTCCTTTAATTAAAAAGCTAAAATTGATTAGGAGTTAAACACCTAACTTTAGTAATAAAATATCTTACTTCAAAAAAAAAAAAAAAATCTGAAATGTTTCAGATTTTAAATTACGTCCAAAGGGGCGTTTTTTAACATTTTGTGTGTTACCTTTCTTTATTAAATATCATGTTCCTCGCACTTAAACCATAAGATCCAGTGCAACAGCAATATCGCAAAATAGTTTTAAAACGAGCATATCTTTAGAATTTCCGATACAGAGACTCACGCGCTGGAGATAAAAATTTTTTTTCTGCACAACGCTGCCATTGCTCGCTTTGAAATCCTTGAGTTTGTTAATCAAAAATTCGTCAAAGTTTTAAAAAATAGGAAATCGATCATAAAACAAATTTCAAATTTCAAATTTGGTCTTCCACATGCTCATATTCGTTGGAGGATTACGTTATTCAAAATTCGATGACTCTATGTACCGTTTTTTTATGAAAATGTGAGAAATATACATACATTTACGCAGATTTTTCATTATTTAATTTCTTCAAATATAATGCAGGACTCTAACATTTTATGGCAACAGTTTGAAAAGTGAACCGACATTTATCCGTCCGACGCAAAATGCCAAAACGAAACTAATAGTCCTTCGGGATTCAAATCCCTTTGGACTAAAAATGAAAGCAAATGTCAAGTCATATTTGAACCTCATCACATCAACAGAATCTAAAAAACTCAAAAAAAAAAAAAAAAAAAAAAAAAAAAAAAAAAAAAAAAAAAAAAAAAAAAAGTTTTGTGTTGTATTGGCTTGTTTGACTTTAGTACAAAACACTAAGCTTACCTACCAGTAGCAAGAAATGCTTTCGTAGTTGATTTTTGAGAAAAGGAAAACAAAATGACAAAATAGCAAAAGGAAAACTGTCTTTCAAAATTCTGGCTTTAACATTTAAGCCATCCGGGAATAGAATACAGAGGATAGAATGCAGCCGGGAATAGAATATTTAGTGTTTAGCGTTTTTAACACCTGGTGAGCTGAAAACTCTTCCCCCCCCCGAAAAAAAGGAGGGAGAGAAGCCAGTTTATGTGGTAATAAATGCCATAGAATAACTTTTAAACTTCTTTTCTAATATTTATTTATAAGGTAGTAGTTTTAACATAGTATGATTTCCACAAATATTTTCGCCATTACAGGTGAAAATAACGAGGAGAAAACGAAGTATGGGGAAAATTATTGTACAGTAAGACCTTCACCTAAAGCACGGAATACGTTCCAATGAGGTTCCGCACTAAACGAAAGAGCGTGAAACTAGCCTCACCTTAAATCGTAATTAATGGCTATGTTACCGTGAAAGACCGAAATTGGAGAATGTCGACTTTCACCGGAGAATATCAACATTCACCAAATACGTCGGTGAAAGACCGAATATTTCACTACATTATATATTCGGACCCTCACCGGTGTATGTCGACAATCACAGATATGCTCTGGTGAAAGTCTAAAAGAGAGGTCATAAAGTGCAATAATAGTTTAAGTTGTTGCAATAAATAAGATTTGAATCACATAATTTAGTAAGTTTTTTATTGCTGTTATTTTATATTCTCATTTAAAACGTACTGTATAATTAAGTAAGTTTTTAACTTGTATTACTTTCCTTTCTCATTTTGAATGTATTGTGTGTTTTAGGTTCTCATGTTCTTAAGTTCTTATTTCAAGTTTCAAGTGCGTTTATTCGCGACTGAATGACGGAGAAGAAAATATGATATTGTTATATGTTCAACATTCACCATTAGTACATGGTGAATGTCGACACTGACCGGTGTAAGTCAGAAATAAGAGTATTTGGAAAATATTTCGGACATACACCAAGCGACTATGTGATTGTTGACATTCACCGGTGAAAGTCGACATTCTCCAGATTTCGGTGTTTCACCGTAACAGATATATGTCAAACATAAGCGAGAATAAGAAAATTTATCAGTTTACTTTTTTGTTCTATTTTGCAACATTTATTGTTAAATATTCTTTAATCGCATTAATTATATAATATACTACTAATGTCGATTTTTATTTATGAAATCTTCATGAAAATAAAAAAAAGTTCCAGTAAAGAAATTATGTTTATGACAGGAAATGTTCTTTCTCACTAAAATTTTTTTAGCCTAGAAGGGCTATTAGTATTGATATGGCATTTTGCGTTGAACTACTAAAAACGTGGTATCACTTTTGAAACTGTTGCTGCCAAATATTATCGCTCTGTATTAAAGAAATTAAATAATGAAGAATCTGCATGAATGTATGTATGTTTCTCTCATTGTGAAAAAGCCATCAGGTTTTGAGTAATGTAGTCCTCTATCCGAACATGGGCACCTGAAAACCTGAATTTTGAATTTAAAGTTTGTTTTACTTCCTATTTCACATTTTGTAAGCCTTTATTAAATTTCCGATTAACAAACTCAATGATTTCAAAGCGAGCAGTAGCAACACTGTACGGAAAGAGAAACTTTATCTCCAGCGCGCGAGACTGTCTGTCGGAAATTTTAAAGCTATGCTGTTTTTAAATATTTTATGGTATTGCTACTGAATTGGATTTTATATGGTTTAATTGAGAAAAATATGATGTTCAATAAATAAAGCTAACACACAAAACGTTAAAAAAACTCCCCTTTGGGTGTTAATATAAAATCTGAAAGTTTTCAGATTTTTATATTTTCAAATTATTATTTTTTTTCATATATAAAATAATTTTAGAAACACCTCTGTTAGAATTTGTACAAGTATCATTTCAGTTTGATCCTATCTAAGCAAAATTTAATTTCTTGTTCCAATAAACAGAAAGATTTATAAAAGCTAAATTGTGGATTTACATTTTTGTTACGTTTCATTGTCCATGGATTTTTCTAAATTTATATCAACATAAATGAAAGGCTTGCCTCTACTTCTTGCTTTTAAAATTTGCATTTTATTCGGCCATGGAATAATGTATAATTTCTCTAATTAAAATAAATTAAGTATTTTTTTACATATTTAAAATAAATATTTTGAAGAAGAATACCTTAATTTAATTTTTACCATGTTATTTCTATTGTATCAACGAATCTAAATTCATGAAATTAGCAAAGCCTCAAGTTTAGTGTAGGTTTTAGTGAAAACTCTATTGATTATTTTTAGGGCAAGAAGGCACAGGTCCCTCTTCATCAGGAATCTGGTAAGATTTCTTTGATCATGAGGAAGAGGGAACTGTACCTGTTTGCCTAGAAATTGATAGAATTCTGACTAAAATTTACGCCTAACACTAGGTTGTTGCTTTATAATTTTTATGTTTTAGTTTGGCGTGTTTCTCTTTTGTCTTTAAATCTAAATTAATTTTAATCTGGGTGTTTATCAACGAGATATTTAGGTTACCAGGAAAACAATGTTCCTTAAGTTTTTGAATTACAACTAAATAAAGACTACTGCGCGTTATGGAATCAGTAAAATGTAAAATAATACATGTTTTCGAATTTGATATTTGCTTTCGTGTTTCGCAGTTATTAACAGTGCAAATCAAAAACAAGTGTACTTTTTGGTGCATTACAAGCGATTTGAAATTCTGCAAATGCAACTCTGTTATAAAAATCCTTTTTTTTCTATGTTGGTATTAATCAATTTAGTATCTAGATATAGTAGAAATAGCCTTAATGTGTGCTGTATTATTGTTATTGTTTATAGCCTTGAGCACCATAGAGGTGATAGTAGGAGTTTCTTGTGAGCACCCGAGAGATGGGAAGGTCCGAGGGTCTTATAAAATTTTTTTCCTATCACAAACCTCTCGAGAGGACGTTCGGCTGGCCGCATATTTAGAGGTGGCATCTCAAAAAACCTACATGTTAGAACTGGTGTCAAATGAAGACTGGCCGTACGCTACCAGTTGGATGGCATTCTTGGACAGCATAGACTGCCTTTCCGGGAAGCAGGAAACGGGTCCTGTACTTTACATTCCCTGAATCGAGACTCCCAGAATATAGATTTCAGCCAGTAGAATAAACGACGCGACGGGGGGGGGATTAAGGATAAACATAAAACTGGACAAAACGTGATAAATTCAGGGCATAAGACCATTTTATCTAGAAATGGTTCTGTCTACGAAAAGTTGGTTGAAGTGCAAACCTAGATTAGATTCTTTTACATTCTTCATTTCAGGAAATGAAAAGTTTTATTATAGGCTTTTAACAGAAGACACTAAAATCTCTAGTTAGTTTGTGAGGCTGTGAGTAATCGCATTTAATGAGAAAAAAAAAAGCAATGAATTTCAACACTTCATATTTAATGAATAATCTCAATTTTTATATCCAATGCAAAGCAATGTTAACAATTTTCTTTGGTGTCGAATTTCAAACGTTCTGTATCAAACTGTAATGACTTCAGCTTCTGCAGCAAACTCTTCTTTTTAGCATCACTGAGTTGATCGTCCCTCGTTATAACCGAAACCAGTGCTAGAGAAAATAATTTGCAAAATTATTGTCTTTAATAATAATAATAATAATAATAAATTTTTCTGCTTAGCGAAATGTTAATCTGCGAGATATGCATTAATTTTATGACAAACAGTTAGACACTGAAAATATAAGCAATTGAAAATAAGTTCATAATCAGTTCCAATATCTATAAATTTGTAATTAAATTAAGAAGTGTAAGCTGTTTTACCATCCGATTTAATTACGATTTAGCAAACTTGTGTGTTTTAGGAGATCTTGTTGTTCTAGCTGTCATGAAAAGGAAACTATCATACTAAACCATGCAACTTCTCGCATAGACGGGAAGAAATAGCACACAGGCAAAAGGTTTTTACTTTATGAACTCTTTAACAAAAATGCACATACTTCGTGCTGAAAATGACACTGATTAATTGCAGTGAAAGGCTTAAGGGTAAATTAACAGTAGCTTAAATGGCAATGAGTTGTGCTGGATTGCTTAAAACTAACAAGCTGACTCAGAAACCTAAGCCGGTACACTTTAAATAAAGGGCTAGAAGGTCTGTCAGCAACTCAGAGTAACAGCAGCAAGGACAAAGTAGCAACGTGAGCTATGCTAGCGAAATCACACTCTAACACACTAACTTCCAGGTCCCTCAAGTACCGCGATTAACGTGCTAAATGCACGTTGTTTTCCGGCCGTTTTGGTGTTATTGCCTCAGTGGGCGCTTGAACTAGAGTGACTAGTTGGCTGATGGGTCCAGCAGGACAACTAGGATGGTTGAAGGGTGAGTAATTGATACATAAAACAGTGTTATAACAGTTCTAGTTGATATGCAGAATAACTTGGATAACAGTACTGATGACAGCAAGATGTAAGATTATACATAATTAGTTGCAGAAGGCAGAGAATGAATTTATGCACTAATCGTAGGTGCTAAAGTTCAGTAACAGGAGCTATATAGCACATCGAGCAGAATCCGGGAACATGTGGATGGTCACCCACTCAAGTGCTGTCTCTGGAAAATGCTGCTGGAATGTGCAGGAATTAAACTATGAAAATAAAATACATTTGTATAAAATACTGCATAACTACAAGAACGTTTAAGTGTGAAAATCCTGGCTTTCACTGCCGATGAAGCCTTTCTGAAGGCGAAGATATAAATCTTCGTGGAGCACGTCGTATTGAAAAGTTCATAAAAACATTTATTTGGTCACGAAATTGTGCACTCTGGAAGAATTTTCTGTTACCTTTCCTGATAAAGTTATCCAATATATCCAGTTTGAAGTCAGCTTGTGGAAGTCTATTTCGAACGAAATAGTGTGCCTTAGTGCTGATCCTCAAAAATCTGTTTTGCACAACTTGAATTTGTGTATACCTGAAGGAATAACAGTAGCCTAATGAGGCGAAGCACAAGTCATCACGGGTCTAATACCTGAAGTGTAGATGAGTGTTTTCTTTGAAAGATCCAGCTTTGAGTATTTCCGTATCATTGAAAATAGACACACTGACTTTAATTGCTTTGCATCTCACGTCATAAATGTAATGTAACCATGTGAGTTTGACATTAATGATGATTCCTAGGTAATTAGCCTTTGGAACAATCGGTTCCGGCTCGTTGAAAAGGAAAAGATTTTTCTTTAGCTTTAAATTCCGCTTTTTCCGTCTAACAAGCAGGATCTATGACTTTTAATCGTTAATACATATTTGCCAATAGCTACACCACTCTCCAATACACGGAATGATGGTTTGCAGCAGATTAATGGCTCTAATTAACCTTCTCTTTTCGCCCGTTTAATTACTTTTCTTCCCTTTAACTTAATTTGCATCCTGGCGAGTTCATGCGAAGGGAAATTGAGGTGTACAGAAAAGATAACAAAAGTTAGAATAATTGATTATTCTAACTAAGGGAAACCCTACAGTTTGACCATGCTATTTTTGAGAAACATTAGAAATTATCTGACAGATTGTAGTAGTAAATATACTTTTAAATAGATATTACGAGCAGAGAATCAAATTTATATACCGTATTCTAGATGTCTTATAAGCCTTTGCCTAAAATTAATTATTGATTCATATTAGAGTTCAAGTATTGTTTTCTCGTAAAATAACACATAATATATGAACTTTAGTTAAGTAATTTCTGCAAAAACACTAGTTACATTTGCTGCGCCGTGGCAACTTCATCCCTTTGGCTAGTACAGTTACACAAGCGACCCATAAACTATCGGCGACAAACAGACACTTAAGCCTCCTATAATAAAGATATTTATTTATTTCATTTTATTTGTTTTTTCATCGTTGCCGGTTTTTGTCGGTTGTATATTTCCGAAATATATTATATGTATAGATGTTAAATTTATTTATTAAATGTTAAATGCACGTGCTCTGGTATTTTTAATTTTTCTGGCTTAGCTTTCTGATAATATTCGTCACGCGCTGCACTGCACTAGGAATAAAACAATTTAAAGTTACGCAAGAAACCAATAAACTATCGGCGACAAACACTTGAATATATATAAGATAATATACGAATCTAAGTTACGTAATTTGTGCAAAAACACTAGTTAAATTTACTTACCAGATTTGTTAAATGGAGAATTATTACAGACATGAGAAATTACATAATCATCATACTTTGCATCGACAACGTGAAAGGTATCGTCCCGTCCCACTATAATTTGTGTAAACAAATAAATATGTAAGTAAGTAACTATAAAAATAACATAAAATTAATTGACAGTAAGTAACATATAATAAATTAAAATTGTTTCATTAATGATTAAAAGTGCTCAAACATTGTCACCGATGGACTTGACGAACTGCTATATTCATATTTATGAGACTTAAGTTCCCTATATTTTTGTTATGTTTGTGTTTTAATCGAGGATTATGATTATTGATGTTCGTTTTACTTCTACGAAACTCTTTGGAACTTCTTAAGTGTGTGTTTGTATTTTTAACTGGCAATTCTAGTTTTGAATTTCTTTTGAATGTAACTGTTATTGCATAATAATAATAATATATTAGTTTTTATATTATTAATAAATTCTATAGTTTAATTATGTGGCTTGAATTTAAATTCAATATCGCTCTTGACAAAATGGAAGGAATAACATAACTTCAGCACTATTGGAATCAACAGCAAAACCTAGATACTTGAGAATTACAAATGCATCTGGCACTGGACCTAACAACCTGCAGATTTTGCTCAGCTACGAGAGCATCTGGAGCTGAGAAAAGACTTCATCTTTTTCAGCTCTGCCCAAAATGACGTTTTCAAGTTCGCCCCCATTGTTAAATCTAGTCATGCTTCTCTCACTAACCACAGATGTTTACAAAGCTGAGCTGTTAGACCACTAGTTAATGCATATACAATCTGTGTCCTGGTATGAGACATGCATGTTACCTATAATATATCGATTATTTTTCCTTTCGGAATGAAATACGCGTATATATTCACAGCTGTTAAGAGTTTCATATGAGCTCTATAATAAAAGGCGCTACATGAAACTATGAACATTCTTTTTTAACAAGGACGGCCTTTCGTTCAAACTACTACAAGTACCCGAAACAATCACGGGTGCAGATTTCCCAAATGCATTCTTTCAGTTCATTGTAGACAGCGTATCTTAATAGGCTAATGGATGCTTCTTTGCTAGGAAGTAAACATGATGTCATTTGAAGTCGACACACCTTTTTTGTGCTTAATTGGACTTCGATGTAAGGAGACGAATGGGACGGGTAATAGACGGAGACGGGCGTTTCGGTATTTACATTATACAAGTTAACGAAGACTTCGGTTTTTGTAAAGGTTACATGTTGAACTGTCCAATTATACTCAATTACACTGAAAAACCACTTAAGAAACTTACTTACTTAAGTTACTTACGTTTGCGTGAAAGAATAGAAAGAAAGCAATAAAATTCAATGGTTAACGAAAAAACCAGTACATGAAAGTAATTAGTATACTCGAACGTTTATAATTCCTTGAAAACTCAAAATTTATTTCCGGTGAGCACTGATACCTCTAAAAGACTGTATGGTAAAATATTGTGAAAAGAAGTTAAAATGTTTCATGCAAGTATGTGCATTATATATATCCTAAGTACAGTGGAACCTTGGTACACGAACACCTTGGATAGCGAACAAATCGTTTCAAGAATAAATTTTCCAAATAAAGAATGTATTGAATGATGAAAGATTTCTCAAGCTGGGAAGAAGAGAGCTGACAATAAATGACACTGTTTAATACAGTTAATGCAATAAAGGGAATGTCTTCAGAAAAAGAAGATGGAAAGAAACATATTAGTGGTTATTTTATTCGTAAAATGTGGAAAATGTGCAAATTCCCCCTTTAAACAAAAAAGAAACAGATTTTCGAAGGCGATTCAGTATTTCTCATTCAATTCATTCAGTCCTCACTTCACTAAAAGGCTAAAATGTAATACAAAACTCGAAATATCTACATAAAAAATTACGAGGTAAATCTTAAACACTTATTTCATAGAGTAAATTCTAGAATGGATTAAGCATAATTTAATTCGCAATAAAAAAAGAAGGCTTTATCTTTGTTGTTACAAAGCTTAGTCGCTCTAGATTGGCAACAAATCTATTATTCTTCTGTTTCAAATGTGCGCCTTGTTATTTAAAAATTAGGCTTAACCGCACTTAAACAGCTATTAAATTGTTGATAATTCTACAAATATTGCTTGCAAAATTCCTAGGCATAAAAACATTAACCGGAAGATAAGAACAATATAATACAATCATTTTTAAAGCAAAAAGTGCACAATTTACAAACATATAAGAGTAAACAAAATGAGATCACTGAGCAGGGTAGCAGAGGGGTTATATATATAAATATATTTATATATGTTTGGTGAGGCCGATTGCAACTAAAATGTGAGTTGCACATCTGCATATTATAGCAGTCCTATATACAAAATTTCAACGTTCTGTGGCTACTCGTTTTTGAGTTACGCGAAATACGTACGTACAAACACACGAAAAATTCTTTTCAGAATTCCTTTTAAAGCAGTTTTACAATTTTGTTGGAGGAAAAGAGTCTTTTATTCTGTCCTTACGTACAGATGTCAGGCAAAAACATCGTTAAATTGCATTCGATAGCGGTCAGAATGGATATTTTCGTTCAAATATGCTGCTTGAAATTTTTCGCAATTACAATACTTCCTTTTTACTTCAAGAAAGTAAGTACTTTTTAAAGTACTTACTTTCTTGAAGTAAAAGTTCTTGAAAGTTTTTACTTCAAGAAAGTACAAGGAAGTAAAAAGGAAAGGAAAATAGGTTGCCATTAATTAAGACGTTCGCCAAGTAAATTATTCTTGGCGCAAACTGAAAAAAATGCGCAAAGATAAATTTTGAAATTTCTTCATAAATTTCCTACCAAAGGTTACAAAATTTGTATCTAGGCATAATTTAAGTCATAGAATCGAAATATAGGAAAAAAAATTGGCATGTATTCGGGCATTCGCTATATTGGATTACTGGTATTTGACAGTACTGACATTTGACATTTGATAGTTTTGATTTACTGACATTTGACATTTGATGGCAATTACTTCCGAATTATGGCGTTGGCTGTATTAAATATATGAAAAAAAATTGGCAATTCTAGAAAACGTGCGATTTTGTGTTAAAGTATCTATGTTAGAAAAATTACATATATAAATCTAATAAATATCCTAAGCCGCGATTTCGAGACAAGGGAAACACAAACTAAATTTCGATAATCAGTCCAGTAGAATGGGAGATATAGAACTGTCCCATTCTTTTTTTTTTTTTTTTTTTTTTTTTTTTTGTGCAAGATATACTTCTTTGTTCTAGATGTCCTGGAATTTGAATCGCCAATCAACCGACATATACCACCAAAAATCTGGCTGTCTGCTGTTATACATCGTAACGTGTTCATATATTAGCCCCGGCTGCCTGTTCCTATACGTCGCCACGTATTCTTATATTTGCAACATGCTGCATTTTTTCCTCCTGCCGAGTGTTCTTATATGATTCATTTATGAAGAGGATTTTGAATTCGCATTTTTACTTGTTTGTACGAAGTTAAAAAGGAAGTGTTGTAATCATGAAAGGTTTCAGTCATGATATTTTAACAAAATATCCATTTTCACCACTATCAAATGCAATTTAACGATGATTTTGCCTGACACATGTAGTACATAAGGACAAAATAAAGGACTCTATTTCCCCCAAAAATTATAAAACTGATTTAAAATGAATTTTGAAAAGAATTTTTCGTGGCGTCTGTGCGTACGTACGTACGTATCTTGCATAACTGAAAATCGAGTAGCCTCAGAACGTTGAAATTCTGTATATAGGACTGCTATAACATGTATATTTGCAGCTCATATTTTGGTCGCAATCGGCCGCACGAAAAGTACATAAATATATGCATGTATATATCCTATATCCACTCTGCTATTCATCTCAGTAATCTCAATTTCTTTACTCTTATACGTTTGTAAATTGTGCATTTTTTTGCTTTAAAAATGATTGAATTATGTTGTTCGTTTCTTCCGGTTAAGGTTTTTATGTCTTCAGTAATTCTGCATGCGATATTTGGGGAATTATCAATAATTTAAATGTTGTTTAAGTGCTGCTATTTGTGATTATTTTGTCATGGCGGCCATGTTTGTTAACATTTAAAACTTGACAGAATAGTGAATTTGTTGCCAATCTATAGAAACTGAGTTCGAAACAACAAAGATAACGCCTTCTTTTATTATTGCGGCTTAAATCATGCTTAATCCAACCTCGAATTTATTCGAGGAAATAAGTGTTTAAGATTCACCTCCTAATTTTTCATATAGATATTTTGAGTTTATATGTATTTTAGCCTTGTCGCGAAGTGATGACTGAATTATTTGAATGAGAAATATCGAAATCGTCTGTGAAAAGCTATTTGTTTCTTTGTTTGTTTAATTTTATTTATACATCGCTTTAGGTATTTGAATAGAACATGTGGCAACGATTAGGTAATTCTGCAAACTGATATAATGTCTGTGAATTCTGAGTTATAAAATGAGTGAAATGTGATTCTGTTAAGGAAACTTATCTCCAGACGGCCACTATGGTAAAAACATATGGTGGGTTTTAAACAGTGTATTCTATTTTAGTTTAAGGGCTATCGACGAGGTAGATTTAATTCAATCCAATAAGTTTAAATGAAATGCAAGAAAAAATGCGCATAATTTAATATTCCGTACAAGGAAGTCATGTGGTGTATACGTCAGATTTTTTTCATTGTTCACAAGAGGAAAAAAAGGATCATCGTTTATACTAGTTGCAAACAATTTTGACAAAGTGCTTAAACTACATTTGGCGTTATTATCGCTTATAACAAATATGCAAAACTTCATAACGCACCAAAATGTCAATTCACGTATATCTTAGGATATTTTGAATAAAACACTCTAATGATTTTTAGGTATGCTTAGGAATATATCTATTTAAAATGATGAAAAAATTTTATACAATATGATTCAAAATGGTTTTCGAAAAATTTATAAAAATTTACTTAAAAATACAAATTAAAAAACTAAGTCATAAAAAATGGGCGAACCGTATTTGGAATGAACAATAAATTTCCAAATGTGAAAGAAAGAATGAAATAAGTTTCATAAAGAAAGAGATATTAATAAATATTGTACCAAATTTAATTAACATGGAGGAGCTAAAATTTTGGGAGCTAAGTATTTAAAAACTGCTCGTGCGATTTTTACAAAACTTGGCACTTTGGCGTAATTTGAGTCGTAGACTCGAAATATAGAAAAATATTGGTATGTTATTTCAGAAAAATGTAAGATTTGGTGTCAAAATACCTAAGCTAGAACAATGTTATATATAAATCTAATATATATCCTATGTCGGGCTTTGGAGACTTGGAAAATGCAAGTTAAATTTCGACAATCGGTCCAGTAGAACGGAAGTTATAGAACAGTCCCACATTTTTTGAGCAACTTGTACAAATTAAAGTTATTAATAACTGTGTATTCATGAAAGGTAAACAGCACATAACTTTAACTCTCTTCGCTAACGTTTCAGTTACATATAATCAATACAATTTTTATTGTTTTAATGTTGATAAAAATGCAAAAGAAATATACCAGCAGGCATCGTGGATCGTACTGTTCCAGGACTATCAGGATCGCTGCTCAATTTACCTTCGAGAGTACGTCTTTCCTCTGATCTATGTTAAATATGGAACAAGATATTTTAAAATGGATTGGAGACATTTTATATTATTTCAATAATTAAATGAACTGTACAGTATGAGGAAATATTTGAATTTAATTACATATAAATAATCATTTATGTAACATTTTTAATCCGAATCTGAAGCAAAGTTTTTTACTTTGAGAAAATAGATTCAACTTTTTTATTTGTTTATGAGCATTAGAGAACTAATTAAGATACAATAACATGACGAACAAGTATTAATTTAGAAGTCAAACAACAAAAATAAGCGTTACGTTTTCAAATTTTGACAGGACTAATTTCGATGGTTTTACCCAACCATCATCCTCAGCTGCAAAAGCGCAAATGGACGATATAATATATAATGATTAGGTAAGATATTACAAAAGAGACTGCATAGGAGTTAAGCAACTGGCGCCTGCTGTTGTTGACACTAGAGCGGAAACATGATTTCGTTAAAGGTTGGAGGCATAGATGCTTTGGAATTAGGGTCTTTTTCTAGGACAGAAAGAATTAGTTGAATGTGAAATGCCTCCAGAAAATCTAATTCACCAAAGGAAGATAATTTTTGAATAATGCTTTTGAAGCTGAGGATCATTGTTCGGTATAACCATCCAAACTAGTCCTGTGAAAATTTGAAATCATAAAGCTGATTTTGTGGTTTGACTTCTAAATTAATTAAATTAGAGAACTATTCCAATTCTCAAGGCAAGCTTATGGTTAGGGAGTAGTTTCATAAACAATTACTACACATATAGTTGTGCTTTGAAAAAACGTTTTCGTATGCTGGCACTGAAACAGAGGCGAGAACAAAATGAAATACACTGGTGTGCAAAAATTAAGGACGAGACGGTTTTTTCAATATAACTTTGTACAAAAGCTTTCCAAATCAACACATTTAATACCGTAAGATCTCCAATACGTAAGAACATGAGTAATGTAATCAACACTTACTAAAAGAGAAATCAGAGGGATAAAAAGAAGCTTTATTGAAAAAGTAGCATGGAGCGCAATGCGACTGAAGGCCGAAACATCCCTGTGATGGGTGTCCAGTAAGAAACATCCGGTCTTTAATAGGGGATATGATCTCCCCTGACTGCTAGGCAGGTTTCACAGCGTCTGCCCATGCTGAGAATGAGGGTGTCAATGAGTTGCTGAGGCATTGCTGCCCATTCGTCTTGCAGCGCCAATCGAAGCTCCGGAATCGTTACTGGTGGTAAGGTACGAGCTGCCAAGCGTCTGCCTAGAAAATCCCATACATGCTCGATGGGATTGAGATCCGGAAATCGTGCCGGCCAATCCATACGTTCAATATCCTCACTCTCTAAGAGCTGTTCGGCAGCTACTGTGCGATGACATGGTGCATTGTCGTCCATGAAAAGGAACTGCGGACCCATAGCGCCTCTAAAAAGACGCACATATGGAAGAAGAATCTCGTTACAATAACGGGTCCCGTTGACTGAACCTGCGTCGAAGATGTGAAGGTCTGTACGACTACCAAGCATGATGCCTCCCCAAACGAGAACACCGCCACCTCCATACCTGTCCCTTTCAATGATGTTCGAGGGATGATTGCGGCTTCCCCGCTCTCTCCAGATGAGTATGCGATGAGAATCGCTACTCAGACTGAATCTGCTCTCATCTGTAAAGAGTACTCGTCCCCATTCATTGTCTCTCCAATTCCGGTGTTCCCGGCACCACAGAGAACGCCTTCTCCGATGGGCAGGCGTTAGAGACACACACCGTACAGGGCGTCGTGCAAACAGACCACCACCGTGCAGTCTTCTGGCCACGGTAAAACGCGATATCGGTCGTCCAGTCGCCTGTGTCGTGTGTCTAGCGATTTTTCCCGCTGTCTGCCGCCTGTTTCTTCTGGCCTGTAAGGCAATATACCGGTCATCTGCGGGTGTGGTTCCTCGTGGACGACCACTACTAAACCCCCGGATAGCTGTTCCTGTAGTTTGAAATTGTCTTCAAAGTCGTGAAACGATGCTGTGAGCAATTCCGAACTCTGCAGCCACACTTGTCACACTGCGGCCTTCCTCCAACTTCCCAATGATTCGACCTCGGGTAAAAGAGCATCCAGATGTCGTCTAACAGATTGATTATTCGCCATTTCTCGCTGAGGCAGCAACTCGGTGTGATTTTAACTGCTATACGGCGTGCAATCTCTTTGCAAGAAATACTGATCTTACACCGACAACATGCTGTATACTACTCAGACATTCCCCCATTGCGTCTACCTGCATATCTGCGCATGTGCTACCGTACATCACCTTACTTAATCTCCTGATTGGTCTTTCTGTCTGCTCTGCCTCTTCCTTCAGCTGATATGCTAATTTTTCGACTTTGTCCTTAATTTTTGCACACCAGTGTAATTCTCTTACAGAAACGAAAACACAGGGCAGTCGTTGCATGCATAAGGTTACGTTTATGATAATCACTTCTTTTATAGGAATTAAATTCGTTTATTCTTTTCTTCCTTTAAAGATTTTGTTTATTAAAGAAACACAATAAGTTTCCCATGTACCTCATAATATCACATGGGGCTTACAGAAGTAAGTATGAAACACAATACAAAATAAACAGAAGAAACTGAAATAAAATTAAGGATGATTACCAAGTTTTACAATGAATTGACAAAAAGAGTTAAAAACACCTCTCTCGGAAATAAATTGGTAAAATTCCTATAAATATTTAAGGTAAAAAACATCAGGTGAATGCAGTGACTTACAGAGTCTAGTTCTGCTCGGTAGCGTAAAGTAACGAGCGTTCAAAAGACTGTACGACGAATTATCCCGAGGTCTTGACAACAACAGACAAGGGCAGAAGTTTGTAAAGGACAGGACCCATTGTTCAATCACATTTAGTTGAACAAGCGGCCCCACTTGGTCTTTTTTAAAGCCAACAGATTTGGCTGAACTCAAAAAGGCAAAGTTGAAATTCAAATAAAATGTAATTTTACAAGTCCTACGGCTCACATGATAAATTAACGCGAAGGATGGCTCTAACTGGTACAAGCCGGCGGAAACAAGCTTAATGGCTAGAAGCACTTAACGCTACAGAATCGAATCGTTAGTAACAACGTGACCCTCAAGCAGGAATAGCATCTCTAAAATTATCTTCCGAAATCTCTGCTAAAATACACTCTTCTTTCTTTCATAATTTAAATACACGCTCGCTATCTGACAAGCATTCTGGAAGGAAATGGTGGGTAAAAACTAGAATGAAAGGAAAGTTTATTTAACTAAAACTTAATGTTTGTTAAAACAAATAAATTCTTACAAATAAAGTTATTTTGTTCTGAGACTGCAATAAATGACTTTAGAAAGACGCTATTCAAAAAATGAATTAAGACTGATAACATTTGCATTTATCAAATTAAATACCTTGTATATTATATAAGTGGTTAAGCAATTCAATCCGGGGATTATTTTTCTTTTTGAGAAAAACAACATAACAATCTTATTTATATGACAATAAAGATTACAGATAATTAAATAATACGTAGTGTGCTTTAAGTGCTCGGTTTGTAAAGCAGTTATAATTTGAAATTAAATTAAAGACCTTATGTCACGTAAAATGGTAACATTTTGGAAATTTGAAAATACAAACCAAGTGGAGGTAAAAGTTAAAGATATTACCAAAGGATAACAAAGGACATATTTTTTTCTGATTTTTTTAACATCCAGCGGGACTTCCGAAGTTTCAATACTTTATAAATACTAGTTTTAATAACTTAATAACAAAAAATTAACTTTTTAATACATATTATTAGCAACATGCATTAAATTTTCAAAACATTTTAGCAATTATTTTCTGAGTTATAAGAAATTGAGTATAAATAATAATAACTGCATTTAAAGATTCTAATACATTGGCTCTTTGAATGTGTATGGAAACTCAGAAAAACCTTTTTACCACATGTAATAATCACGACATTGGTGATAATATTTACTTATGAGCAAAGAGTATTTTTGCTAAAACTTTAAAATCAATTTTTAGAAGAATTCTGTCAAAATATAGGAATCTGTAGCTTTAAATTATTTTTAAGACACGGAAAAGGAAGTGTTTTCATTCAATATTAACACATACACATAAAAAAAGAAGAAGGAAAAGGAGATCTTACTTACGTTTCATTTTTCCTTAGATAGCTTATTGTGAAGTGAACATCGTCGCCTACTACCGTCATATGATATTTGTAACATCTCTCTGAGTTTACATTTTCAAACGTGTAGGGATATACGAACACATGCCATCTACCGGCAAGCTGTTGAAAAACGAAAATTATCAGATTTAAATAAAAGGTTTTAGCAGTCTGCAGAACAATATTAAGCACAGATGAAAGGCGGCGATGTAATTTTCCATAAAACGCTTTTCACAATTTGACATTCTGCTTATATGCGCAAAAATGCATTAATACAGAATTGAGGCGTTCAGCAGGCATATCATACTTCATGTGATAAATATCCTACGTAAACAGTACTTGGTGATCAAAATAATCTCCTTCAATGTGCACTCACTTTGAATAAGGTTTTGTTAACGACAGGAGTCTTTAGCGAAAGAATACAGGAAATAATGATACGAAAAATCTGTCAACTGCAAGCTGGATCTCTCGATCGTCAACGAATTTTTCTGTGGTTAAAATGTGCTTGAGATGCCAGGAGAAGTTGTAAGCAGCGAAAGATTAGTTATCGAAATATGGCAATTGAAGAACAGTTTCATACCGCAGTTCTTTGAGAGTTTGTACTGATAATCGTACGTAATATGAGCTGATATTGCGATGTTTCTTCAAAGCACCATGTCTGTTGACCACTGCTGATGCCAGAGAATGACTGAAGAATGCCAGAGATTCTCTGGTATCAACAAAGCGATTCTCGGCATCAACAGAGACCACTGTTGATGCCAGAAAATGACAGTCTGTTAACTAAACTGTAGATTCCAGAGAATTATCTGAAGAAGGCTAAATGTAACCCTGGTCACAGGAATTTATATAGAACTGTGTAAAATTGCATGTCTGAAATCAATATTAATGGCTGAAGTATGTCGCAAAGGAATGATTGTAAATAAGCTGTGATAAATGTATGACGTATGTATTAGAAGAAAAAATTGCAAATCCAAACTATGTATTGAAACCTCTGTTGCACACTGGCCTTGTTTGCCCATGTATCTCTTTGTTTTAAGACTCAGCAATTGCCGTCTGACCAGCAACCCACCCCGGTTGTGGTGGTTTGGTTTGGTTTGGTTTATTAGTTTACGGCAAAGCACTCGAGGGCTATCTGCCTTGAGGAAGGGATGCCTTCGTGGAGGACTTTCTAAACCGGTTGTGGTGGAGTGGGTAGTAGAGAGCTTCCGGAGACAGAGGCTTTAATCCGTGTAAGGCAGTCTGCTAGACTGTAAGGCAACGGAGCCCTTGTTCTCCAGAATATAATAATAATAATAATAATAATAATAATAATAATAATAATGCTGTTTAGCAGAATAGCCAATCTCTATGATACTTTCGCCTGAAGGAAGATACCAAAAATCATTCCAGCACCAAAGTGCTATATTAAAGCATCAACATCTTCTGGAAAGTATGGGAGATTGTTTCGCATTGTTATTCTGGTCTTTGTTTGCTATCTACTTATTTGTTCCATTTGAAAGAGATATATTTTGACAGACTCGAATGAAAATTGAAAAGACGTATTTATAGTTATATTACGATATATCGGCTTAAAAATCTTGTTTCGAGACTAACAGCTATTTTAGTGCAAATAAATAAAGAACAATTTTGAAATTTAAAATTCTGGCTCCTAGATGCGCATGTTCAAGTAAAGAACTACATGTGTTCAAAATCTGGTGGCTTTAGTTGCAGCCATTGTTTTCACAATGTGAGAAACATACAAGACATAGAAGAAGACAGTAAAACTTTTAACAGCTTTCGATATCTGCCATGGCTGATGGTTAAGGCTTACAGATGAAGATAACAAAACTGGATGTCGACAAATCACCAATTTTTAATTTCACACACATCAAATTAATTTGGCAGACACTGATTTAATCATTATTAAATTGCTGTGTGGTTTGGTTTTTTACGAAATACTAGTAGGCATTTGGGAAGAGAAAGCAAAGCACCGTGGATGTTGACGTGATTGAAGCTAAGGAAAGGAATTGCCAGCGGTATCTATACTAAGTACGTGCAGAGAGTACTCTAAGCTATGATTTGTTAATTTTAGGTTATTATCTAATCATCGAAAGATCTCGAATTTGGGAGAACAAATAAATTTAGGGCTACAGCATCAAATCTAGAATCGTTAATTTTAAGGTTGCCAATTATTTTTAAAGCACCTATCATATTTTCTTACATTTTACATACATATATACTGATTCTTCATTATTTAACAGTGGAGAAGGGCAAAATGATATTTTTTCGAAATTTCTAAGAGAAAGATTCCAAGTAATATAATTACATCAGCAATATTAAAATGAAAATATAGCTGCGCTCCTGTAATATTTTTATGTAGAATTCAGCATCAGATATCGAGTGTTTTAAAATTCAATTTTTCAAAATTATATATCTGAGTTATTAAAATAAACATGTTTAAAAACTAACTTATTTCTCTATACCTTCGGTAGTTCGAAGTCGTCTTTTGTAGGATGCTGGTCTTTGCACACGTCAACTTCCTTAGCGTCTATAACAAGAAATAGCCCAACAAAGAAAACTACAAACTTAGTCATCGAAGCCATTATATGAATGCAGTGATTGCCACTTTAACAAAGTGATACCGGGAATAAAATGGATAAAAACGTTGGTCTAAGAATCGTTTAAATATAATGGTTTAGTCACAAACAGCTGCCTAAGTCGCACATTATCTCTCCTTTCGAAATGTTATCGAAACGAATCTGAAACTAACACAAATTAAATTGTACGATAATTTGTAGAAATATGCTTAAATATTCAATTTCTTCCGTTCCGTTTTTAGCAGGCCTATACCATCTGCCTAATATTATATAAAACAATGCCATATTAACAAATTTATATCATATTTATCATAATGTTATCATGATCCTGTTTTAAATATTTAAAATTCTTACTACAAATACCAAATGAAGTCCTAAAATGTATTTAACATGTGTTCTTTCTCGTAAGGCATATACAACAGTTTCATTTGCTGAACTGCATAAATTGCAGACATTTAGCAATCTTGCAAAACTATTACTAATTTTTTGCGAAGACACGAATATATCAGCAAATTGTTCAGTGAGTCATAAAAATAGTTTTCGTGGTCCCATGACCAGAGTTAAAAAGATACGAAAAACGTGAGGATGAATGGGCAAAATAATTATATTGTCTAATAGTAAAATTTTTATGCTATATTAGAAAAGAGGAATGCAGACGAGTAAACTGATCAATCCGGATGATAAGTATTTCTGGATATATGCAGCTGTAAACACTGTTACTGCTTGAAGTCGTAAAAACAATTCCAAATTTTTGGTAAATTTTTGCTCTCCTGACATGTTTATTCATAAAGTTTACACGAACTATTAACACGAACACTGACTTAATATTTTAAAAGACTGGAAAATGTAAAATGTTAATTTAATTATTTTTTTGTTTTGAAGTTGTGGATGGCAACGTTTTGTAAAGCAATGATTTGTAAATGGAATCCCAAAGTTTTAAATCTTTTATTTTTTAAAACAGTTAACATTTTATAGTTATATACTTAAAACTGTTAATTTTAATATTCTAGTAATGCACTCAGTAGGATGGTATAAGCCGTATTATAATGATATGTATTCTGCGGGGTGTTTTGATGTTATTTTTGATATGTTATGAGAAGAATGTGCTTTAAGGCAGGAGTTGACTATTTTAGTTATTATTAATGTTAATGTAATCGATCGTAATTTACAACGTTAGCAGGGACATCAGCATCTTGGTTAATATGATTCAGAAAGTAGAGGAGAAAAAGTAGTGAAAAAAAAGAGGGGTGAAGATAAAATGTTTGTTTTTCAATGAATAGGCACAAAAATTTACAATCTTATAAACAGAGTTTACAAACAATAGACCTAAGCACAAAAAGACCGAAGTCATTGCCTATGTAGCGTTTTTGCCTTCCAGTATCTCGTCTCTTCTCTAAGGCCACGAAGAGCCCCACATCAACATCAAAGCAGGTGGTCGTTGTCCCTTTCTTCTCCGGAACTGCAAAGTGGACAAGTTGGATCGCTTGGAATGTCTGTGCGAGGCAAGAGAAGTAATAGTATAAAGAAAAGCAGAAGTAGTAGTAAAAATGTAGTAACCAGAATGCACTGGGAAGATCAATGTTTACGTTTACAATTAAAGGTCCCTAAAAAAAGCAATAAAAAGCAGTCTGAGAGAAATAATTCAACAGTAAAATCATTTTAGTTCTCTACGTGTGCTTGATAAGTTAACCTCAATAGTAAAACTTCAAAAGAATTATTCGAGACTCATCATTGGGGATTTAAAAGAAGAGTTGAACGTTGGACAGGGCACGAGTACGTTAATTGGTTATTTGAATTTAAAGCATTATTCTATTCGTTAGAGAATCTAAGTTTACAGCGCTGTTAGATTATGATATACCAACAAGTCGATCGCAAGGCTAATTTTGGTCGATCATCGATCGCCCGCAATGACTGGAACTGGAGTGGAATTCCGTGTACAATAGACATTGAAGCGATTGTAGAAGACAAAATCTTTTAGAAATAGTTTGACGCATTGTGGGAATTTGCCGATGTCATAAATTCCTAGAATTCTGACAGCCTGACACTGCGATCTCTGTCCACTACTACATTACATTTTGACTTATGTTTTATACGGTGTCCGCCGATAACATCGCGGACAAAAACGTCGCTGAGAAAACATCGGGGTACAAAACATCGTCGTCGTAAATAAAGCGGTTCAAAAACTTCGCAGTTTAAAAACATCGTCGCCGAAAATATCGTGGTAAAAATAAAGTATCTACAAATCATCGCATGACGATAACATCGCAGACATGCTTTTTTTTCAGGTTTTAATAATTGTAAATGGATATTCCCATAATGATTTGTGAGTGCAAGATGTAAAGAAGGATAATTTTTACTTTCACATTTTTTTATTAACTAATAAAGTTTTGCTGAAAAAATCAGAAGGAAACTTAAGCATAGAAAATTAAATGCAACTTATAGATTTTACTTTTCGTGAAAAATTACCAGTAAAAACTTGATAAAAAGGATTTATTAATGGCCTTTGTTAGTTAAGTATGTCTGTTTAAAATTCTATTAAGTGCTATAAGTTGCATTTAATTTTCTAAAGTTTCCTTCTTACGTTTTCAGCAAAAATTTATTAGTTAATAAAAAATAATGAGAGTTATTCTTCTTTCCCTCTTGCGCTCACAAATCATTATGGGAATATCCATTTACAGTTATTAAAGCCTGAAAAAAGCATGTCTGCGATGTTATCGTCCTGCGATGTTTTGTAGATACTTTATTTTTTACCACGATATTTTCGACGGTTATGTTTTTAAACTGCGAAGTTTTTGAACCGCTTTATTTTCGACGACGATGTTTTGTACCACGATGTTTTCTCTTTGCGATATTTTCTCCCACGATGTTTTGTAGCACGACGTTTTCGCTTTGCGTTGTTTTCTCCGCGACGTTTTCGTCCGCGATGTTTTTGCCGCGATGTTTTCGGCTGTAACCGTTTTACACTTATTACCGGACCCAATGCTTGAACGCATCTGTTAGGGCTCTTCTCATCGAACAACACAGTCAGTTAGCTTGAATATTTGGTAGTGTCACACGGTAGCTTCTTTTCTTTTGTATTAACTGTAAGTATTATCTCTTCTCTTCATATAATAAAAGAAAGAGTCTCTCTCTGTGTGTGTGTGTGTCTTTCGTTCGCGCTGCGCATAAGCTAATAGACCCACGGCTACGAAATTTGGTACATAGGTGCATCTAGACAAGAGCCAGTGCACCTCGAAGTGATTTTTTCGAAATTCAAATTCGAATTTTTTTTATTTTATGCTTTGTGTCGAAATCGCGTCATTTTGAGACATAATGGGCTATAGGAAAACGAGATTTTACTCTACACACTCCATTTTCACATCGTCATGAAACGTAGGCACTTAGCTATTTTACGAACTTGAAATAAATTTCGTGTTTCAATAAATCGATTGAATACGAATTTATTTAACAAAGGGAGCTTAACACCTTTTCAAGGGTTTTTTTTTTTATAAAAAAATTTTTTTTTTTTAAATGTACAGTTTATTCTTCTTTGATTTTTGGACACGTTAAACTTTCATCCTTGCGACTGCTTTTACAAAAAGAATTTGGGAAAAATGATAATATTTTGCATTTTAAAAAATTTTTTAAACGAAGCTTCCGAGTACACTTCTCACATCTCACATCTTTATAAATGTGATTTTGGCAACAATTTTCCTGCCTTATTGTTGTTGATAGATTTTTGATGAAATCGCATCATTTTCAATAGTTTCATTCTTTTAGAAATATGGGTTTGGCAACCATTTTTCATCGTATTTCTTATGTCACTGTTTTTAAGAGATTGGCATATTTCATTGTCATTTTTATATACTATATATAATACATTTTTACTGATTTTTTTCTGCGCGGAATTTTATGTTTTTTGAGTTGCTTTCATGTTATGTTTTGCTTATTTCACTGTTTGTAAGATATTGAAAAGTTTTGCATGATTTTTTTTTCTTCAAGGGAAAGTTGGTTAATTTTTCTTATTGGGATAATTAATATTTGTATTAAGGGATATAGCTTATTTCATTGTAATTGTTTTCTCTTGAAAATATAAGATAAAATATCATTAATTTTACTTTGCTTTTCAGAATTTTTTGTTTTTTGTATTCTTTTATGTTATTTATTGCTCATTTCACTGTTTCTAAGATATTGGAAAGTTGTGAGTGATTTTTTTAGGAAACAAAGTTCTTAACCTCCTTTATACCATTTGAGTTCCTAAGATTTAAGAAGGGAAGTTGGTGAATTTATTTATTAGAATAATTAATATTTGCATTAAGGAATATTGCTTATTTCATTGTAATTAATAACTTTTTTTTATGAAGTTGTTCTGCAGAGTAAAATCCTACGCAGTTTTGAAATTTAACGTTTGGTGTTCCCTTCAGCCATTTTTCCGGTACATTTAAAAGCCAGACGAAGGGTGCCAGCGAAGCTGCTAGTTATTAATCATTATTTATCCTCAGTGAGCACTTTGGGTTTTAATTCTTCTTCTGTTTCAAATGTAAGTACCTTTTCTTTGTTTTAAATCAAATTGCTTTTCTTCATATCTATTTACTTGTTAAGTGAGCATTCTCGGCAACAGATCTCTGCAGTTATGACACTGAGAGAAAAATAAGGGAAAGTGTTAAAATTGTATTAGGAATAACGATAATTCTATTTAAATTAAAATTTCAGTATTTAAACCGTAATAAATATATTGGAACATTAACATACTTCTTCTAAATTTGAATAGATCTTAAATAGATTAGATTATAATACACTTGTACTGCTGTGTTCGATCGTAGCATGCAGTATTGTTATCATTTCTCTCAACGTAACGGAGATAATAGCCGCAGTTCACGAGTTTTAAATTCAATATTTATTCTTTAAATTGTTATATTTCTTTGCATTCTACTATACACAGAAACATAAGTAGTACACCGAAGAAATCGAAAACGTATCACTTCAATAAAGAATGGAAACTCGATTACCTTTTTACAACGTTGAATAATAAATGGTGTTGTTTAATATGCCTTACATCAGTAGC